GAGAACGGAGCTGGAGATGGTATCCTGTGATCCCAAATAAAGAATGATCAATTTGCAGACAGAGACCCTGGGAAAATCCCAGAGACCCTGGGAAAATCCCCCAAAAAGTCTGCAGGAAAATCCCTCACCCCGTTTTCCTACCAATTGATCGTTCTTTATTTGGGATCTCAGGATACACCCCCCCCCCCGAGAACGGAGCTAAAAAGCAGGTTAGTGAAGGAATGTGGCTGCCTTGGAGGGGGCGGGGGGGTGTGAGGTATGTGTGTGTGTGTGTGTGTGTGAGGGAGGGAGGGAGGGAGGGAGGGAGGCAGGGTGAGAGAGAGAGAGAGACAGAGAACATCACTGCCAGCCCTCCGAGGTTAGATCGGATCTCTCTCTCTCTCTCTCTCCCACCAACGTCAGCAAGCCACTGTCAGTCAAAATTCATATTAGTTGTCAGCAGGATTTAAAATTATGAGTTTCGTGTTCCCTGGGGTCCACAAGGTTGGCCACCCCTGATATAAACGATACCCCTCCGATATTACCTGGATCTTGGCTATCAATCAGAATTGCTATGACAGGTCAACTTACAAGCCATTCATTTAGTGTCCGAAGTTATAACAGCACTAAAAAAAGTGAATTATGACTAGTCCTCACACTTACGACCATCACAGCATCCCTATTGTTTCATGATCAGAGTTGACAACACTTGTCAACCAGCATATACTTACAACAGTTGCAGGGTCCAGGGGTCCCGGCAACGGTTGTCATCACCATTTGTGATTTTCCCAGCCTGCTTCTGACAAACAAAATCAATGAGGGAAGCTAGAATCACTTAACAACTGCACGATTCCCTTAACAACTATGGCAAAAAAAAGGTCATAAAGTCAGGCACCATTCCCTTAACAAATGCATTGCTTAACAACAGAAATTCTGGTTCCAGTTGTGGTCTTAGCTTGAGAACTACCTGTATTGAGTTACCTTACATTTTTCAAACTATCCCATGCGTTGTTTTTCAGCACAGGGGTCGTCGCCAACCTTTTGGACCTCAGGGACCACCAAACTCCTAATTTTAAATCTCGCGGAGCAGAAACCCTGGGAAAATTCCCCATCCTGTTTTCCTATCGATCGATCATTCTTTATTTGGGATTGCAGGATACCATCTCCAGCTCCGTTTTCGGGGGGAGAGAGAGAGAGAGACTTTTGGCTTTCAAGGAAAGCAGCAGAAGTCTTTCTTTCTCTGCCCCAAACTCAAAAGAAATGAGTCTTTGCTGGTGCAGCCTCTTGGAGCAGGAGGCCTTGCAGGGTCCCAAAGACTCATTTCTGGCGGAGTTTGGGGGAGAGAAAGAAAGACTTTTGCTGCTTTCCTTGCGTGCAGCCAAAAGCAGAAGAAAGAAGCAGCCTGGTGGCCAGTCCAGGCAAAATGTGTGGGGCGAGTGGGGCAAGTTTCCCCCCTCCACCCTTTCCCCCTCCCCTCACTACCTTGTGTTGTTCGCAATGCAAGCGACGCAAGCCTTGTGTTCCCATGGGCCCTGTGGGCGGTGCAGCCTTGTGTTCCCACGCTGCCTGGATTAATTGCTTTGGGGATGACAGTTCTCTGCGGACCACCAGTGGTCCCCAGCCCACTGATTGGCAACCACTGCTTCAGCATATACCTGTACAGGCAGTCCTCAACTTACAACAGTTCATTTAGTGACTGTTCAAAGTTACAACAGCAGTGAAAAAAGTATCGTACGACCATTTTACACACTACCGATCTTTGCAGCATCCCCACGGTCACATGATCAAAATTCGGACGCTTGGCAATGGGCTCAAATTTATGAAGGTTGCAGTGTCCCAGGGTCATTTGTGACCTTCGGATCAGCAAAGCCAATGGGAGAAGCCACATTAACTTAACAACCGTGTTAACTAACGTAACAACTGCAGTGATTCACTTAAGAATTGTGGCAAGAAAGGTTGTGAAATGGGGCAAAACTCAGCAACTGTCTCACTTAGCAACAGAAATTTGAGCTCAGTTGTGGTCGTAAATTGAGTCACATTTGACTCCCCAACGTGTACAATTGAGTAGCGCTAACCTAAACTTTCCCAGCTACTCTGAAGCAAGAGAAGGATTCTTCGCACATGGGCGGAGGAAGGTTGAGCATAACAAGCTGTTAGTGTAGCCCCGAGCCAAGAATTGGCCTTACGTCACAACAATCCAGTTTTTCTTAATAACCTTCTGTTATCCACCTACATTTTTCAAAGAAGAAAATCCAACCATAAGAAAACATAATCTACCAATAAGGCAACACATAAACTTTCACATAAACACATGAACACATAAACGTAAGCAACACATAAATTTCCTGATGGCCATTGCTTTAAATCATCAATGTAACGTTACAAAAGTTGGCTGTTTCACCCCTTCTCAACCTCTGAAATGACAGCTTTTGGCAAGGATCTCTGACACAAGCAATGCAGATAAGGATGGAAGATGCAGATAAGGGTTGCTGGCTTTACGATCACTGAATTCCTTTCTTTGCTTTTTTGACGATGTCAACCCTGTGGTCAGCTCTTCCATTTGATAGGATGAGGCAACTGCTTTTGGCAGAGAGTTTTGGCTGCCATAAAAGGGCAACAAATACCTTATTTACTTCATGTATTCTCTCTCTCTTTTTTTTTTACTGGCAGTAGGCAGGACATCCTTGTGAGAATGGATAATATTTTAGGCTATATACACTGGGGGGGAAATAAAATATGCTGTGCTCGGTTTGAAGCCACAAATTATTTCACTTGATGTTTTGCATAGAGCCATTTTCTTCTTGAATTTTTCTTAACTGTCTCATATTTTTTTTCTGTGAATAATCTCTGGTTTGTTTCCAGATAGAAACTGTGCTGAGTCAGAGCCTGTCCGCCAAATCATTATATGATTTAATTATGTTATTCTGTTAATTCTCTTTTCCTCCCGCCCTCCCTCTTCAAGCACAGGGTCTCCTGTCATGGAGGAAGCATTTCCATAGATCCTCAGTGATTCCATAAGAAGGCAAAGCAAAAGGTAAAATAACTCAGAAAACAGGAAGACAACGTAGGTGTAATGAAATGTGAGAATGACCTTGGGAGGGAGAGCCAAGATTGGACATCTGGCATGTCTATAGAAGGAGAGGAAAGTGGGAAAAGGAGGAAAAAGGAAGAAATACTTAGAGTCCTGTAAGACACCTTGTGAGATAGACAGGAGAAGAACTAGAATAGAATAGAATTCTTTATTGGCCAAGTGTGATTGGACACACTAGGAATTTGTCTTGGTGCAAATGCTCTCAGTGTACATAAAAGAAAATATACATTTGTCAAGAGTCAAGAATCATAATGTAGAACACTTAATAATAGTCGTAGGGTACAATAAGCAATCGAATCATACTAGGAAACAGTCCATATAAATTGTAAGGATTCAAGCAAAAAAGTTACAGTCATACAGTCACAAGTGGGAGGGGATGGGTGATAGGAACAATGAGAAGATTAATAGTAATACAGATATATTAGTAAATAGTTGGACAGTGTTGAGGGAATTATTTGTTTAGCAGAGTGATGGTGTTTGGGGAAAAATTGTTCTTGTGTCCAGTTGTTCTGGTGTGCAGTGCTCTATAGCATCGTTTTGAGGGTAGGAGTTGAAACAGTTTACGTCCAGGATGTGAGGGGTCTGTAAACATTTTCACAGCCCTCTTTTTGACTCGTGCATCCAGTTTGGATTGCCACCTTGCAAAAAAAGATGTTGAGACTTTGGAAAAGTCTAAGATGTTTAAAGGCCTGGAGACAAAAACATATGAAGAATGGTTGCAGGAATTTGGTATGGCCCGTCTAGAGAAGAGAAGAACTGGGGGTGACATGATAGCGGTGTTCCAGTATTTGAGGAGCTGCCACAAAGAAGAGGGGGTCAACCTATTTTCCAAAGCATCAGAGAAGGCAAGACGAGAAAACCATGGATGGAAATTAATCGAGGAGAGAAGCAACCTGGAATAAGGAAGAAACTTCCTAACAGTGAGGACAATTAACCAGTGGAACAGCTTTGCCTTCAAAAGTTGTGGGTGCTTCATCACTGGAGGTTATTAAGAAAAGACTGGACAGCCACCTGTCTGAAATAGTATAGGGTCTCTTGTTTGAGCAGGGGGCTGGATGAGAAGACCTCCAAGGTCCCTTCCAGCTTATCTCTTAGAAGGGAGCAATACAGGTCTTTATTCTATCACAATTTGGGTAGCTCTGATCTGATCTGATCTGATCTGATCGTATGTGGAATAATTCTCTCTTGTGTTTTTCCTCTTTCTGTCAGGTCTTTTAGGGGTGGTAAGTCATGCTGGGAAAGAAACAGAGGCCTTGCCAAAACATAAGCCATCTCCATCGGCCCCCTCAAGATGTTGCAATCCCACAGAAGATCCGTTCTCCTAAGTCAGGTGACATTAGCCTGGAAGTCTTTAACAGCTCTCCTCCAGAGCTTAAGTACATCCACAAGCTCAGGCGGGATAGAAGAGCCTACAAAGCAGATTCCCACGATTCCCACGGAGGGGAAGGAGAGACAAATACCTTCATCCCTAGAGCTGCAGAGAGCCCCCCGCCCCCATGCTGCCCCAGTCTTTCCCAGGTCTGGAACACCTCCAAAGCCATCTTCTGCTGCCTGATCACCTGTGGGAGCTGCTTCAAGGACTGCCGAGCCAGCATCTCCTACAACAGCACCCTGACGGAAGACGGGAAGAACCAGGAGTGCAATGGGCATCCCACTAGCAGTCCGGCCAACAGCTCCCCCAGTGAAAAGAATGGGAGCCAAACTGGGAAGAGTACAATGGGAAGCAGCTTTAGCTACCCTGATGTGAAATTGAAAGGGGTCCCACTTTATCCAAACCGGAACCCCGGCTCTGCCACAGACTCTGATTCATGTTACAAGGAACCTTTGCCAGAGAAGTTCCCTCCACACAGCATTGAGAAGCAGCCTGCCCCTGCTAGCCACCGGAGCTCTGAGGAACATTATTCCTTCCACGAGTCCGATCTCGAGTTTGGTGAGCTGAACAGCTCCATGTCCAGTAGGGAGATCGACGGCCTCATCTTCAAGAAACTCACCGAGCTTTTCAGCGTCCACCAGATCGACGAGTTGGCCAAGTGTACCTCTGACACGGTCTTCCTGGAGAAGACCAACAAGATCTCCGACCTCATCAACAGCATTACTCAGGACTACAATTTGGATGAGCAAGATGCCGAATGTAGGCTAGTCCGGGGCATCATACGTATCAGCACACGGAAAAGCAGGGTCCGACCCCGTGTCCCTGCCCCAAATCTCCCAGGTTCAGGGGAGATCACCAGCCGAGTCAACCCACTTCATGGCGGCAATGAGACTATGCTGGCATCCGTTCTCCCTAGTGAAGAAGGTAGGCGTGAACTTCAGTTTTGGGAACATGCAGGGGTGGGATTCAAATTTTTTAACAACCGGTTCTGTGGCCGTGGCTTAGGTGGTGGGTGTGGCTTAGGTGGTGGGCGTGGCTTGGTGGTCATGTGACTGAGTGGACATGGCTTGGTGGTCATGTTATTGGGTGGGCGTGGCCAACTCAATATCACCCACATCGAGGCACGCATCTCCTCGCCTGGCCTCTCAAGACTTTGGGGATGCTGCAACAGTCATAAGTGTGAAAAACAGTCATAAGTCACTTTTTTCAGTGCCATTGTAACTTTGAATGGTCCCTCCACACAAGCAAAGTAGCAGCAAAGGAGGGGAAAACAAACTTCAGAGATGTTCCTGAGACAGGAAGTCTAGTCCTGCCAAGAATGTAATAAGGGTTAACGGAGAGGCAGTTTCTGTAAGCAACACCAGAATGTTTCCTTCCTGCCTTCCTTACAGGATTAGGCCAGTAATTTCTTCTAACATCCGGTTCTCCGAACTGCTTAGAATGTTAACAACCAGTTCTAGCGAATAGGTGCGAACTGGTAGAATCCCACCCCTGGGAACATGGTACCAATTGGGGGAAACCAAACACACATCACAATTTGGAGTGCCACATATAGGGCAGTGCTGAGTACAGGTAGTCCTCGACTTACAACAGTTCGTTTAGTGACCGTTCAAAGTTACAGTGGGCCTGAGAAAAGTGACTTGTGACTGTTTTTCACATGACCATAGCAGCATGCTCATGGTCACGTGATCAAAATTCAGATACTTGGCCACCAACTCGTATTTATGACAGTTGCAATTTCCCGGAGTCATGTGATCACCTTTTATGACCTTCTGACAATCAAAGTTAATGCTATATTGATATAGCAACAGAAATTTTGGGCTTGATTGTTGGTCGTAAGTGGAGGACTATATGTGTTATATGTGAAACACATCTAAGTCTTTCTCTTCTACTTCAATCAAATCTCTGTAAGGCATAGGAATAGAAAAACTTCTCGGCATAACTTTTCACTAAAAATTACATCCTCCAGATCAGGGGTCTCCAACCTTGGCCACTTTAAGACTTGTGGGCTTCAACTCCCAGAATTCCTCAGCCAGCTCCAGATGTCGCAAAGGTGCTTTTTCAAGAGGCAGCTGGACTTTCTGGTTTTTTTTTCTTTGAAGATGTTTCACTTCTCATCCAAGAAGCTTCTTCGGCTCTGACTGGATGACTGAATCCTTCCATTCTCTATCACCCAGTCAGAGCTGAAGAAGCGTCTTGGATAAGAAGCGAAACATCTTCAAAGAAAAACCAGAAAGTCCAGCTGCCTCTTGAAAAAAAAGCACCTTTGGGACAGCCATGACCTGGATGGCTGAGGTTCTTCATAGACATCCTTCAGATGTGTTAAGCTACAACTTCCAATGGACTCAACCAGCACAGCTGATGGGAAAATCATAGGCTGCCATTTTGGAGATGCCATTTATTCGCAGGGTACCATTTTGAGAGAGGCTAAAGGAAGCACATGACTTTAAGGGTGAGGCTGGCTGATCACGTAGCCCTCCACATTTCTCATGTCACACCTAGAGTAGCTGGGAGTGGGGTGCTATTTCCTCACTGATCAAGTCAGCAATACCCACGTGGGGCCATTTGTTGCCCTACATGCATAATCATTCACAAAACGATTCTTAGATTTCCCTAGCTTTATACCTAGACGTCATGTATGTAATTAAAGCACACTGCCTCAAATTCTAGAGGGTATTCATCTCAGTAGAAGACTGCTCTTTTCTGCAAGAAGGATTTTGCATATATTCAAAAATTATCACTTGCTTCCCTGGAATACAAAATGCAACCTAGGAGAGCAGCAACATTTCTGAACAGCTTTAGCTGTCTGGGCATGCTGCTTTCCCATTTCCCAGGCTGCCTTGGTGCAAGTATCGTCCTGCTTTTTTCTCACCCCTGGAGCACAGCCCACAAGCTATGGTGCCCAGGCAGAAGCTGGCACGGAATGCCTGGGACCAGGCACTGCCTGCATGGATCGAAATGATAGTTCAGAGAAGCAGTGATGATGGCAGCCCTGAGAGGAGGTGATGGCTGGGGGAGGCATGAATGGGGATATGGATCTTGAGGAAGATCTTTCATGAGGGCCTCATTCCAGAGGTGGTATTCAGCAGGTTCTGAACCAGTTCTGGAGAACCGGTAGCGGAAATTTTGTGTAGTTCAGAGAACTGGCAAATACCACCCCTGACTGGCCCCACCCGCATCTACTCTCTGCCTCCCGAGTCCCAGCTGATCGGCTGGGTCTTCTTTGGTTGCCCTGCACAGGAGAATGGAGCTGGAAAGCAGGTTAGTAGGATGGGGAGGGAATGGAGATTTTGCAGTATCCTTCCCCTGCCACATCCACCAAGCCACACCACGCCACCAAGCCACGCCCACAGAACTAGTAATATATTTGAAAAATATTTAAATCCCACCACTTTTTCATTCCCCTGACAAAACAAAGGAAAACAGGGCTCTGTTCTCTCTGGTACCCCAAACAGAAATAGCCATGGAAACCTAGATTCCCTATCTCAATGATGGGGGTGAGCAGTTTTGCAACAGAGAATTGGGACGCTGTAGGTAACCCACCTCCCTCGGGATCCTCCAACACAGGAGATAAAACGTTGTCAGTCAACGGCCAACAGACTGCAAAGTTTCTTCCTCCCAGAGTAAAAAGGGACTGAGCCAGAGGTGGCATTCTGACCAGTTCTGGAGAACCGGTAGTGGAAATTTTGAGTAGTTTGGAGAACCGGTAGTGGAAATTTTGAGTAGTTTGGAATACCACCTCTGACTCCCAACCCCATCTATTCTCTGCCTCCCAACTCCCAGTTGATCGGTTGGGTCTCCTTTTGTTGCTCTGCACAGGAGAACGGAGCTGGAAAGCAGGTTAGTGGGGTGGGGAGGGGAGGGAATGGGAATTTCCTCCTCTCTGACCAGCCCCCCTCCTCTGCCACTCCCACTAAGTTACACCCCCCAAGCCATGCCATCCCACGCCTGCCAAGCCACACCCACAGAACCGGTAGTAAAAAAAAAATTGAATCCCACCACTGGGATCCCCAAGGCAAAACAGTGATGGGGGAGTAGGGCTGATCAGAGAGGAGGTTCATTTAGGGTCCTATGAAACATTATACAATTGAAAAGAAGGAATGGCATTTGAAGCTGCAGGCTTTTCTTTTTTTTTTTTGCTTTGAGAAGAAATGCCCTTCTGCAAAAAATACCCTTTTGCTTCAGCTGGGAACTACGCTTGCACCAGCAGACTTTTGAATGCTACCAGTACCAACCACAATTGGGACTGGCAACTTGGTCACTAATCGAAGTGGTCACTGAGTGAAACCATATCTGTGCTGTTATGATCTTACTTCAGCTTTCCTTTGCTTTAGGAAATTGTAAATGTGAGGTTTAGTTGCAAAGTTGCTTTTTATCACTGTTGTCACCATGTACGGCCCCTAAATGAGGCAGTCACTAAATGAGGACTTTATACAGGTAGTCCTTAACTTACAACAATTCATTTAGTGACCATTCAAAGTTACGACACTGAAAAAAGTGACCTATGACCATTTTTCACCCTTACGACCATTGCAGCATCCCAGTGTCACGTGATTTACATTTGGATGCTTGACAACTGATTCACATTTATGACAGTTGCAATGTCCCAGAGTCATGGGATCCCCTTTTGCAACCTTCTGACAAGCAAAGTCAGTGGGGAAACTTAACCACCATGTTACTAATTTAAGAACTGCAATGATTCACTTAACAAATGTGGGAAGAAAAATCATAAAATGGAGCAAACTCACTTAACAAATTTCTCACCTAACAACATAAGTTTTGAGCTCAATTGTGGTCCTAAGTTGAGGACTACCTGTACATATTTTACAGTCCCCTCTGGTGCCCACCCAGATAAACAGTTTCTTCCCTGGAAACCTTGAGTGGCTCAGGGAGCAAAGTCTATTGCTCTTTGCAAAGCATTCTTCTGTCTGACATGCATAACTGATCCAACATTTTTGCCACTTTTGTTGACACCCTTGGGTAAATCCAGAAGTATGTAACATGACTCACCTGAGTTGGGGCGTCTATTTCAAATGTCAACCTTTCTGCTAACTGCCTTTCAGATCTACCTGTTCAGATATCGGTAGAAACTACAGCAGATATGCAAGCCAGAAACATGAGGCAAGGTATCTACAACACAGCAGGTGAGTTTTCTTGGCATATTTTAGGGTGTTGGGGAGCTTTGGGATTTGGGGGTTTATGACTGTTGGCCCATGGTTGCTTTCACAAAAGAAATGGGGCGATGGGAAAACTTACAAACATCTGCAATTTCACCTAGTGTAAGGAAGAACTAATGGGTTTCTACCAAGTTACTGCCCTGATTTATACTGGATTGATTGATTGTGCCTTCAAGTTATTGTTAACTCCTGGTGATTTCCTGAACAAGGTCCCTGTCCTTTTCTTGGCGGGATTTCAGAAGTGATTTCTCATTGCCTGTTTCTTCCTAGGGCTGAAAGACAGTGACTGGCCCAAGGTCACCCAGCTAGTTTCATGCCTAAGACAGAACTAGAACGCCTGGTCTCCCAGTTTCTAGCCTAGTGCCTTTAATCACTAGATCATACTGGCTCTATTTTTTTAAAAAAATACAGTGCAATAATAGTTACGTGTATTGGGAGAGTGAGGCTGTCTTTCTGCATTTAGAACGAAATCTTTATCTGGCTTCGGTTGTACAGAATTTACTGTCGCATTTTTGCAAGCTATGGTGGGCTGCTTCCTCTTCTCCATCTCGTGCAATTATTTATCTGACCATTAAAGGTGACCTTCATTCAGCTAGTTTAGATGTGGGGGTAAACCCCCTACCCAAATTCCTAATGCATTTTATGTTGCTTTTGAGGGTCTCTGGCCCATCCGGAATTATATACACAAAATCCTTTGCTGGTGCTTCTTGGAGCTCACTGGAACAGGATGAAGCAATGGGGCAGTTTTGTTTTGCTCTATAGAAGTGAAGGCCCGTGTTCCTTGGTGAAGACTTCAAAGCATTGTAAAAGTGAAGCTCCCCTTCAGAGCTTTGCACAGGCTTACACTGTAGCACCCATGCTGAGCATCCAGGCAGATCTATGGGTATTGGCTATCATGAACTGAACATCCTTTTGGTGATCCAGCTGTGTCGTAATTCTCAAAAATGTGAGCCATAGGAGAGAATATTTATAGCTCAAGGTTGAACTGTGGGTTGATTTTCTTCCCACATATCAAAATATGTATTTCCTGATATTAACCCCATCAGGGCATAGATAGTCCCCTTTGGTAGATCCTGGGACACCTTCATTTGCAAGAATATTTTTGGTTCAGGGGTGAACTGTGGGGTCCTCGGTGCTCCCTGAGCTTGGTGGTTTTCTTTCAAACATTTCATTACCAAGCTAGGTAACATCAGTGCATTGATGATGTTATCTAGTGTGGTGATGAAATGTCTGCAAGAAAACCACCAAGCTCAGAGATCACCAAGGACCCTGCAATCTGAACCATGCCAAGAACAATTCCCTCCCTTCCTCCCTTTCTCCTTTTCTCTAACTAAACACCACTTGGATGAAACAAAGTTATAAATGGAATACTAGAGATGTCTAGGAAGATTCTCAGTCCTTCAGATCATGGTTGTTCCAAAGGTGCTTTTTCAAGAGGCAACTGGACTTTCTGATTTTTCTTTGAAGACGTTTTTGCTTCCCATCCAAGAAGCTTCTTCCGCTTCTTGGATGAGAAGCCAAACATCTTCAAAGAAAAACCAGAAAGTCCAGTTGCCTGTTGAAAAAGCACCTTTGGGACAATACTAGAGATGGTTCAACATTGCTATAAATTAGTTCAAAGGTGGAACCAGTTATCTAAGAAAGTGGTATCCTCTGTCCATTGAATGTAGTATATTTAAGCGTAGCCTGGATAGACATTTGGTAGGACTGCTTTGATTTAGTTCCCTAAACTGAACAAGGAATTGGATGGCATGGTCTAATGGCCAGCTTTTCATTTCTGTGATGGCAAGGCTAAAGGATAAAGTCTGATGGCTTTGCTATTGACTTCAGTATGTGTTTTGTTCGTGCATTCATATGACCCTTTAGTGTGAATTCTCTATGCATTCCTTTATCAAGGAACTCAGAAAAATGAGACACCCCATCAAACTTGGATAGATTTTCACTTGTTCCAATATAGTTCCCTCACCTTGACACTTGAAATGCCTAGTATAAAAGAGAGAAAGTTTGTGTGTGGGCCTTCAATTATCAATTTGTTTATGGCCATGCTGACAATCATTCATGCTTTTTCACTCTCTCTTGGAATACTGCGATGCACTCTAAATCAGGGGTCGCCAACCTTTTGGACCTCAAGGACCACCAAACTCATAATTTTAAATCCTGTGGACCACTAATATGAATTTTGACTGACGGTGGCTTGCTGACGGTTTCCCAGGGTCTCCGCAGAAAGCAGCAGAGACCCTGGGAAAATCCCAAACAAAGTCTGCAGGAAAATTCTGCACCCCATTTTCCTACTGATCGATCATTCTTTATTTGGGATCACAGGATACCATCTCCAGCTCTATTCTCGGGAGGGGGAAGAGAGAGAGACTTTTGGTTTCATGCAAAGAAAGCAGCAGAAGCAGCAGAAGTCTTCCTTTCTCTTCCCCAAATTCCACCAGAAATGAGTCTTTGTAACACTTGTGCCAACGCAGCCTCTTGGAGCAGGATGCCTTGCAGGGTCCCGAAGACTCATTTCTGACAGAGTTTGGGGGAGAGAAAGACTTTTGCTGCTTTCCTTGCGTGCAGCTAAAAGCAGCAGAAGAAAGAAGTATAAAGAAGCAGCCTGGTGGCCAGGCCCGCCGTGTGGGGGTAGTGGGGCAAGTTTTCCCCCCCCCTCTACCCTTTCCCCCCTCACTACCTCGTGTTGTTCGCAAGCCTTGTGTTCCTAAGGGCCATGTGCGTAGCGCAGCCTTGTGTTCCCATGCAGCTGGATTAATTGGTTTGAGGGAGTGCTTTGGGGGTGACATTTCTCTGCGGACCACCAAAATTTTATCGCGGACCAACCAGTGGGCCGGGGACCACTGGTTGGCGACCACTGCTTTAAATGGAGCTTCCCTTGAAGACTATCCATAAATGTCAGCTGGTCCAGAATGCAGTGATGGGGCACCAGTTTTCCTGTGTAACATCTCTGCTTTAGAAGCTGTGCTGGTCACCAGTTTTCTTCTAGGAGCAATTCAAAATATCACTTGCCGCAGCGGTGGGCTTCAAAATTTTTAGCAAAGGGTGCTCCGCCCAGTTGCTGGGTGGGCGTGGTCATGGTGGGCGTGGCCTAGTCGGCCTTCTGCACCATGACGGGGGGGGGGACGTTTTTGCCCTCCCCGGCCTCCGGAGGCTCTCTGGAAGTTGGAAACGGACGCATTTCCGGCCTTCCCGAACTTCCGGGAGACCCGTTTTTTACCCTCTCCAAGCCTCCGTGTGTGCCCTACACTTACCAGCATCCAAAACAGGCCACCTGGGGACTCCTGGGAGGGGCAGGGTGGGTGGAGCCAGCTAGGAGTGGGATTTGGGGGTTCTCCGAACTGCACAGAATCTTAGCTAGGGGCTCTCGCAAACCCCTGCAAACCCCCAGCAGCCCACCCGATTGTCCCCTTTAAAGCCTTTCAAAGTTTAGGACCTGAATATCTCTGTTTCTTTCGATGGCATCTGCCTGTCTAATAAGATTTGGAAAAGTGGGTGACTCCCAAATCTCTTTTTTAAAGGACTGGCATCTTCAGGGACTACAGCCTCAGCCACAATGTCCTTTGGAATAGCACGTAGATACCCTGAAAACGTATATGACCCCTCCCACAACCTGTTGATTTTTAGAGAGCCATCCAAAATGTGGCTTTTTAAGACTACCTTAGACATGGAGTGCCCATTGATGTAATTCTGGACATTGCTTTGGTTGTACTGCATGTGCTGGGATTTACTGCTTTGGGGTATTAAAAAAACACATAACTGTGTGCCAAGAATATTTTTGAGCTACCTTTTAATTTAAGCCCTCATAAACTTCTGAAATAGCACAGACATAATGATTATTTATTTATTTATTTATTTATTTATTTATTTATTTCTATGTGACCACCTATCTCACCAAGTGACTCTGCAGTGAAGGAAATTTAAAAAATAAAAGAGCTAAAATAATACAAACATTAAAATATAGAGTAACTAAGAATAAAGCATTCACGTAGGCAAGTGATTTAATTTAAACGATACAGATAGGAAAGACAGCTATGGAAATTTTGCCCTAAATAAGATGGCTCTGGGTTAGGTCTTTACTAAGTTATTTATTTATCAAATTTATATGACCATCCATTTCATGAAAAGTTATTCTAGGCAGTGTACAGTAAACAAGGGATAAAATCAAACATGTTAAACGCGGTCCTATTGAAACACACACACAAAACATTTGATCAGCAAGGAGCCATCTCAAGAATCATATATCCCTTGTTGCTCTGGTTGTTAAGTGAATCATGGGGTCATTAAATAAATCCAGCTTTCCTCACTGACTTTGTTTGTCGGAAATTCCCTGGGAAGCTCATAAATAATAATCACAAGATGACAGGATGCTGGAACCGTCTTAAATACAAGCCAGTTGCAAAGTGCCTGAATTTTCATCATATGAGCATAAGGACAATGCAATGGACATAAGTGTGAGGACTTGGCTGTAAATCACTTTTTTCAGCGTCATCATAAATTTGAACAGTTATTAGACAAATGGTCATAAGTTAAGGATTACCTGTAGCTATCATGACATGCAAAAATATTAGTTTTTAAATCATGGTTGACTGGGATTTGCCTGTTCACTCGAAGCAAAATAAACAACTCAAAAATGAATTAAATCCATTTGAACAATTCTAATACTGGGTCTTAACCATGAACAAGTGCCCATATACACAAATAACTAAACATAACATAGTTTGTAATATATATATATACAAACTATAAAATGTAATATTATTCTTTTCCTGATAGCCGTGGAGAGAGGCAAATGGTATTCAAGGTATGAACATTTTGTCCTTGGCTTGCTGTAATGAGGTGCTTCAGGTTTTGCTGGCTTCTGAGGTTTTTTAAGGCATCACAGAGCCTTAAGGGCTAGGAACTTGTCATGGCTTTTTAATGCCATCTGAAATTCTCCAATTTCTAAATTATGTTATTCAGTGCCTGACAACCTAAAAATTCAAGGGAAGGGGGAGGGTGTTGTAAGAATAAATGAATATAATTATGCATTATAAACCGTGGCCTTTAAGGGAGACTATTGTGTCAACTGGGAAGTAAACAATCCTTCAGATTTTACTAAAAGGAAGAATCTAGCCCTCATGGCTGCTTATTTCTAAGAGGGCTCATTGCTTGCCTGGGACTCTGAAAGGTTTCCATGTTACTACAGTATATTCCTTTTCATAAATATATTTCCCCTTTTAAAATAATTGAGAGAATGCCTCAGCAGTGTAGGGGTTTATATAGCTTTTATTATGGTCCTGAAGCCTCCCCAATGAAGTCAGATGAGTAATAGAGCAGAGTGAGCATAAACAACAGGGCTCAAACCTGTGTAAAACATATAGGTATATGATCAGCCAATTAGCTAATTCTAAACTTCCGAATTCGCTTTGCGCATTCAGATTGAAGTCAGGGTGCAGTCTTCATCAAAAGCCTACTTTTAGCACACCCCAGGTTTCTTCATTCCAAGTAAATGGAAAAACAATTTTGCCATTCACGTTTCAACTACAATTTAACACAGTCAGAAAAAAAGCAATGGATTTTGGTTTAAAAAAAATAGAGATTAAAAATTAATAAGGAAAAAATAATTTTAAAAATTGAATGTATTTTTTGCTATTGCCCCTTGGTATAGGGCAAAATATAACAAGAGGAAAGGATTCTAATTATTGAAACCATCATTTTAACTGTGTTTTATCTAGCTGTAAGTATTTTGCCCAGTCCTGTTTTGAAAAGAAGTCACCGTCCCAAGTGGCTGTTTTACTCTTTACCTACTGCCTCTTTGGGGAGTTGAAGCACCTTATGCTACATCAAGGGTCTTCAAACTTAGCAAGTTTACAACTTGTGGACTTCAATTCCCAGAATTCCTGAGCTAATATGACTGGAGGAGGAATTCTGGGAGTTGAAGTCCACAAGTCTTAAAACTGTCAAGTTTGAAGATCTGTGTGCTACATCAACAGTGCTCCTTAGCTAGGTTTGAAGGACATGTAATCATGATAAAGGGGACAAAACATTTCCTTGTTGTTCCCAAGAGAATCACAGGCATGTCTTCATGTGCTTCCCAGGAGTTGAGACCAACTCAAAGACAATCTCCACTATTTCTAGAATGGCTTGGTTGAGCTACACCCTCTCAACTCTCAGCTGGACGTGGGAATGGCTGGGTGAATTTCTTTGGTTTAACATGGGCTCTTGGGGCAGGTATAAACAGGGCTGGATATCCATAACTGCAGTGTGGTTAAAGTTGGCTGAGAATGTGAGCTTGTCATCTGTCTGGTTTTAAAGGGTACATTCCGCTTTCTTGGCTATAGAGAGCCTGTTACAAATGTACAATGGGAGGTTGATGGAATGCGGTTCAAGGTCTTGGAGTTTCTAAGGCTGTAGTGTTCTTTCTCTTGACAAGCAGAAATGGGATTTTGAAAATGCTGAGAAGGATTTTTCTTTTAAACAAAAACAAGAAGAACCATTTTCTCAGCATCCCCAATTCTTGAATGCAGCGCATGGATTACACTGCTAAAAGAACAGAAACCAAGGAAGGAACTCTATATCTTTCTTGTCCATTATTTCAACTGTTTAAATTTGTTGGAATTTGTAGCATTTGACTCTCCCCCCCCCCCCCCCCACTTGCATGAGTGGCTTCCTGTCCTGTTGTGTGTGGATGCGTGTGTGGATTATTTAAAAAGAATTTTATGTGAGATGAAAAAATTACAAAAACAGAGAAAAGAAGAAGAAGAAAAATAAAAGAATGGGGAAAAGTGAAGGTCAGCAGAAAGCAAAGAAAGAAAAGATATTTAAGGAAGCCATGTCTGACCTCCTTTTTAGCACTTATAAACCTGATAGTTACCATCTAAACCCTCGCAAACGCCATATCTTAGTTCCCTCCTTCTCATAAACAACCAATTTTAATCAGTGAATCCCAAAATCAACAGTTCATATGCATCCATTTCCAGCACTTCCTGTCTTATTTTGCAGGGAGGGGGGAGCAGCTAAAAATTATAGCAGTGTCACATGTCCATTCTACAACAGTCGTCTTCACATTCTAGATCAGGGGTGTCCAACCTTGGCAACTTTAAGACTTGTGGACTTCAACTCCCAGAATTTGGAGACCTCTGTATCATGGCATCGGATGGATTGCAGAGAAAAATCAGGCAAAAGAAGGAACGGAAGCAGAGCTGGCTGGAGAATTCTGGGAGTTGAAGTCCACAAGTCTTAAAGTTGCCAAGGTTGGACACCCCTGTTCTAGATTGTAAAAGAGTTTTATGCAAATCAGTACAGTTTTCAAATTATTCACAAAACTGAGACATTTTCATTGGGGCGTGGGAATTATCTATGCAACCGCGGTTACAAAATATTGTTCTATCTTATCCTTTCGGTATGCTTTATCCAGGGGTGGGATTCTACCGGTTCAGACCTGTTCTATAGAGCCGGTTGTTATGATTCTGCGCAATTCTGAGAACTGGCAAATCGTGCCCCTGGCTGGCCTCACCCATCCCCTCCCTGCCCAGTCAATCCTTATCGTGCATGCGCGACATCACGTGCATGCCTGACATCGCTGACTGCATTCTCCCCCTCCCAGTCACTCCTTAAGGTTTTTTTTTTCCTCCCAACGACCAGCTGTTCCGATGATCAGCTGTGCCGGTATCCCCCTCACTGTCTCACTACTTCGCCCACGAGGCTTCCCTGAGGCCCAGGAGGCAAAGGGGGGCTTGCAGGCGGGGCTACGCCCCCTGCGCTCCATTCTTTGCCTTCCTGGGGCCCAGGGAAGCCTTCTGAGAGCAAAAATGCCCCCCCAGGAGGCTCCCCTGAGGCCCAGGAGGCAAAAAAACAACAACGGGGGAGTGGGGTGTGCTGCAAAAAAAAAGAGAAGAAGCCGCACCCACCCATTCACATGGCCACAGCCACCTAGCTACGCTCACAGAACTGGTTGTTAAAAAATTTGAATCCCACCCCTGGCTTTATCCTAACTTTTATTTCTTGTATGTCTAACTCTTTGCTTCCTGTTTCCTCCCGTTCCTTTGCAGGATCCCCATTAAGTAGAGGGTCTTCTTTCCAAGATACGGAGACAGATTCCTCTGGAGCCCCTCTGCTTAAAGTGTATTGCTGAGAAACGTGGACCTGGCAAATCCCCAGAAGCAGTGAGGCCTTTAAGTCAGCCTCACTTAGAGACCAGTTCAGAAGCGATGGACAACGGAGTCTGATGCAAGCCATTCTCAATTGTGCCTTCCAAGGAATACTTGATTTCTCTTGCCATTTTCCAAGGTTGGCCCTAGTGTAGACTTGCTTTAAGGTGACCGTTGGTGCTTTTTGATCATTTCCTAGGCCCAGGGGTCTCTGACCTTGGCAACTTTAAGACTTGTGGACTTCAACTCCCAGAGTTCCTCAGAACTTCCTCAGTTGAAGTCCACAAGTCTTAAAGTTGCCAAGGTGGAAGACCCCTGGCCTAAGTCCACAAGCTTTGCTGGCTGAGGAATTCTGGGAGTTTAAGTCCACATCTTAAAGTTGCCACGGCTGGATACCGCTGTCCTAGGCAATGTTGATCTCTGCTTCAGAAGTGAACAGAAATGATGTAGCAGTTACAGCTTTTTGCACATATCCTTTCCTTAATCCATTCTGCTCTCCCCTTACCCTTGTTAAACAAGAACTGACCTCTGCATTTTCTTTTCCAGAATAAAAAAGATCTTTCTTCTGCCTATCAGGCTTATTCATCCAACAGACTTATCTGTTACTGATCTGCCATTAATTTTCTCATTTGGAATTCAGACTTGATTGTTCTCATGCAATTCCTCTAGGCCTTAAAATATCCACTCTTCATTGTAAATAGCTCACCAGAACTCTGACGATGAGACGTTGTTGATTTAGGAATATGACAATTCCTCTGTTGAAATCTTCAGAAACTCTTGCTATCTCTCCTGTAGTTTAATTTTATTCTTTTTTTCTTTTCCCCTGCCTCATTTGAACCATGGGGGGCTGCCTAGATTGGAAATGCAAAAGTTTGAAAGGGAAGCTGTTACTGCATCTTAGGGTATTTTGATTCCTACTGTGCTTTGGTGGTGTTATTTTTTTTAAAGCAAATAAAATTATATTTAAACAATGAACGTTGAAAAGTCACCCCCTTTGTCTCATACAAAGGGACTAATTTAATGGCTAGACATTGTGAGAGCTGTAATTCCAACAAAACTGGAGAACACACCAGATACGAGAAAGATAATTTAAAGGATGGCATCTGAAGAAAGGAATAAAATGCTCTCCTTTTTTTTTGTAAATAAAGATTTTGCACAGCGCTCTAGTGGTTGCTTCTGGCTTCCATTGGGAAATAAAATGTGACTCATGTATATAAAAATGTCATTTGGCATCAACAGTATCGCTATAAAGAAGTGAAGTATCATTAATGTGATCTTACTTGAAAGTTGTTTAAGAAATATTGCCTGGTTCTTTCTCTACCAAAACGATACAGCCCATAAAATGTGTCTTACAGGAGCAAACAAACTCTAAATAGTCTAACATGTGGTTTTCCTGATGTAGGAGGTCTATGGCTAGTTGACTTCCTTCTTGCTTCCTACTTGTTGGTATTTAAAGGTAGATCACTTCATCCCGTTTTTGGGGCCTTCTGGGCCTCCGGGAAGCCTCCTGGGGGTGCGTTTTTGCTCCCTGGGGCCCAGGAAGGCAAAAAATGGAGAGGGCGGGGGGTGCTGCACCTCCCTCAATTTTTTGCTTTCCTGGGCCTCAGGGAAGCTTCCTGGGTGAAGCAGTAAGTAAGTGAGGGGAATCCTGGCACAACTGATCATAGGAACAGCTGATCGTCAGAAGGGGGGAAAATACCTTAAGGAGCGACTAGGCGGGGAAGAGTGCAAAAAGCAATGTCGGGCATGCACGCAATGTTGCACATGTGTGATAAGGATTGATGGGGAGGGGAGGGGGGGAGAGGGGAGGGGTCATCCAGGGGCACAATTTGCCGGTTCTCTGAACTATGCAGAATCATAACAACCGGTTCTATAGAATTGGTCCGAACCAGTAGAATCCCACCCCTGCCTTGAAAGGAATTTGACCTGTGAACATCTTCATTGCCAGCAATTCTTAACACATTTGAAAATACTGTAAGACAGTCAGTAGTCGTTCCAACTAATCAATAGAAGCTAGCAAAGAACGGCATTCGGTCGATATTTCTCTTCATCCATGCTTTAACTCACGTTGCATTATTGCTTGGAAATTTAAACAGCTGAATGGTTAGCTAAATGTCTATGGAGATTCTCAGTCATCCATCTTCATGAGCTGAAGAAACTTCTTGGATGAGAAGCAGAACGTCTTTGAAGAAGAACAAGGAAGTCCAGTTACCTCTTGAAAAAGCACTTTTGATTACTGTGAGGAGAAGATGCAAAATAACAAAGCTGCTATACTTCTTTGCACTTGGAAGACCTTACCTTGCCTGACTCTTTTAGGAAAGGGTAAGAAGAGCTAACATGAACTTAGGAAGCAGATGAGTAAAGTTTTTGCCAGTGGGAAAGCAGCAGAAACACTAAAGGATTCATTGTTTGCAAATGGAAACATTACTTTTTTTTGGGGGGGGGGGAGTATTTAAGATCACTGCAGCTTCATACCTAAAGCGAGATTAGAATTCACAATCATCTGGTTTCTAGCCTGATGCTACTACACCAAGCTGGCTCTGTAATGTAGCTGGGCCAGAAATAATTTGATTCTAGCATCAACACAGACAATCATATGATATTGTCTGCTACTTCTGGAGTGGTGGATAGATTGCTATTTTGGTTTGAAGATTTGGAGGTGATCAGTGCCAATTATTTGCAGGGCTGAACTGGGGAATGATGCTGGACCCTACACTTCTCCAGAGAAAGTCAGAAACTACAACAACTCCACTATCAAACCAAGGATGAATAAAGTATTAAATATGAACCTCGATTTTAGCAACAATGGCCTGAAGTGGTGACTAGCAGTTAGTTACCTTTCATGAAGTTAACATGTCTTTTCTTTGAAAGTTTGTTCTGAAAAAAATGGAAGTATTTTGGAGGGGCAGACACAACTTCGCAACTAAAAACAACAATTTAAGTTTTAGCAAAAAGAAAGAGGAATTGCCTATATAGTGCAGGCAAAAATGTGTATCTTCTTCAGGAACATGCTTTTGGGGAATTCAAAGCTTACAGTGCCACGGACTTGAAAAACCAGTTTTCTCCCTCTGTGTGGCTAATCACACACAGAGACACACAGAAAATGACCGCTACTATCTGTTACTAAGGTCTATGCAAAAAAGAATAATTATCAAAGTTTTTTCCATGACTGCCACCTTCTTGTCTAATGAGAAAAGCACTAGATCCCTCTGATCATTTCAAATATTGATCACTGACAGAATAGTGTGGAAGCCAGTATGATTGTGCTCCCCTCCCAAGTCCTGAGTCTAACTGATCTCCTAGGCTACATGGGAACAAAACTGGAGGGCTTACAACAAACTGCCGAGCTTAGTAGTAGCCTTACTTTTTTTCCTTTTCAAGGTTGCAGGGTAATGATGCATCCAGAGAGCAAAATGTTCAGGCACCAAGGCCTTGGCTTGACTCCATGCAAACAACCTGTTCTCTCTCTCCCACTACCATAAAAACAAACACATCCTATGAAAGTGGACTTCAACCTTAAGTCTAGCATAGTGTATTTGTCATTGCTGTCAGCTGCCAAAAGGGTGGAGTGACAGCAGTGATTTTTCAAGTTCAGGCTCTGACGAACGGAAGGGAGGCGATTTTGACTTAAATATCTCCATCAGGTAGACAATTCTCCCTGGAGAATGTCCAAATTGGGGGATGGGGGTGAGTGATTAGCTGCTTTTTCTGTGCCTTAATCACATCAAGAGGACACTGTCCCCTAGGACATTCTTTTGGTCAATAACAAGTGAAAAATACACAAGCTAGACTTTGATTCCCGTGGACTCTTTAGAAAGTTCACCCGAAGAGAGGACTGTTCTGCCTTTTTCATGCTCTGGGAACAAAATGTTTTATTTTGTGAAATCCATTCTACCTCTGCCCTAGTCTAGGAGAAGGGTTTTAAGTTCCAGGAAGGACCAACTCCACATGCAGGATCATGAATGACACTGTAGGTCCGAGACACAAGAGCCAGTTTGACATCTCCCCTTCCCAAACTGGAGAAACAAATTAGCAGGACATTATAACAAAAGTTAGAGAAGTAAATATTTTACCCTGGGTTACACTAAAACCTTGTTTAGTCTTCGTGCTGTAAAGATCAGTGCCTGCTTGTACATAATCCTATAGTTTTGTTCAAAAGACCTTTCTTCTGAGTCTATATGTACAGGTAGTCAAAGCAAAGTATTTATGAAGGGTTCTATTAGCCAACCTCTATCAGATCTGTTGAGACCTAATACTTCTAGAATTCCCAGGTAGCATAACTCAAAACAGCTACCTCTCTCACCTTTATGCATTAAAGGTCTGTTTATTAGAGGGTGTTGTAGAAAGTTAGCACCCGCCCCTCTCCTAGAAGAAAATATTCTAGGAAATATTTAAAAGGCAGAATATTATATTTTCCCTGGATGAGAAAAGGAAAAACATGTTTTTAAAGACAAAGAGCAGCTTCCTGCCCC